CTGCCATTTTAAGCCTTGAATTCGCACGAAATGAGAAACTAGGAGATCGTCGAATAAGTCGTAGATCTCTTTGTTCTTCCTTAAACGCCATGTACCATTCTCTCTAACTTTCCCCATGTTGCGCCTCAACACTTTTCTTTCAAAACTGTCAATCTTTTCAGCCAGTCTTTTACGTAGGATCCAGGTTGCACTGGCATAGGTCAGTACAGTTCGGATAATTATTTTGTATATAACCATTTTGGTACCCTGACTTAGTAGTTTACTCCAGAGGAAACTTCTTAGAGTGAAATATGCTTTATTAGTCCCCATTACCCGATTTTGAATTTCTTCGTCAACCTGATCATTAACGATGGAGCCTTAAGAGTGTTAAGTTTTAACGATCTCTAAGGAAAGCATACCTTATTTCCTCTTCCTTTAGTTTTTCTCTTGTCCAGGTGATCTGCGGTTTACTCCTTTCAAACAGTCTTATCTTATATGCATGTTTGATCTTTGCAACTACCAGAAAATGATCAGAAGAGATGACTGGCCCCCTATATGATCACACATCATTAACTATATTAAAATGTCTACTAGAGACCAGAACGTGATAGATCTGCGTTACAGTTTCATTTGGTTACATCCATGTTTGCTTGTGTTTTTCTTTGTGAGTAAATAATAATAATAATAATGCTTTATTTATTCTGGGACAAGTTCCTTTGTATTAATGCAGAGAGACAAAAATGTTGGCTAAGGAGCCTCAGAGATACATAAACAAGAATATAGTTTGATTTAATAGTAATAAAATAAATAAAAAATAATAAGAGAAATTATAAATTACTTTCTAATTTACATCAGTTAATAATAAAAAATAAAAAATTGAAAATAAACATGAAGTAAAAATAATAAATAACGATCTAATAATTTACAGTTGTAACTATTTACAGTTTTATGAGGACTGGATGGATAAGAAATGATTATACAGTTGGGATTTAAAGGTAGGAAGGGTTTTAGATTGATAGGAGGGGATTGGAGCCTATTAGGATTGCCTTGGTCTTTTCCGCATTCAACTTCAGCTTGTTAGCTCCTGCCCAGTCATATATTCTATTTAAATCTTCTTGAAGATTTTTTGTGGCAGCTAATAAATCAGATGTAGTAATTAGTAGTAACTATTTACAGTTTTATGAGGACTGGATGGATAAGAAATGATTAAACAGTTGGGATTTAAAGGTAGGAAGGGTTTTTGATTGACGGATGTGTGGAGGGATGGAGTTCCATAGGGAAGATGATCGAATAATAAAAGATTTATTGAAAGCAGGGGTTCGGTGGGCCATTATATATAAATCTGAAGACCTGGAACTGGTATTGCGGGAGAGGACAGAGGATTTAACTTGAAGGAGCTCGGCGATGTATGAAGGACGGCAGGAGTGAATTACTTGGAAGAGGAAGGATGCCAGGAAATACTTACGGTGGTAGGAAGTATTTCCTACCACTTCAACTCTTCATAGAAACAGGAAACAGGGGAGTCTCTTGGGATCCCGAAGATGAATCGTACAAAGCAATTTATCAAACATTTTAGTTTCGCCTCGAGATCCCCAGAGACGCCTCCATATACCGTGCAGCAATAGTCGAAGTGGGGAAATATTAAGGAGGTGACCAGGAGTCTACGGATTTCAAAAGGAAAAAGGTGTCACAGGCTATTTAAGTGTTTTAGGGTAGAAAAGGTAGGGAGATATTGGACACATGGTTTTTCCAGGAAAGGATTTGATCAAAGATTATTCCAAGGTTTTTGATGGTGGGATAAAATTTAATGGGATTATCATGAAGGAACAGGATTGGAAAGTTAGGAACAGTTTTGAGGAGGTGATTGGAGCCTATTAGGATTGCCTTGGTCTTTTCCGCATTCAACTTCAGCTTGTTAGCTCCTGCCCAGTCATATATTCTATTTAAATCTTCTTGAAGCTTTTTTGTGGCGGCTAATAGGTCAGAAGGGGGGAAGGACAGGTATATTTGGAAATCGTCAGCATAGATGTGGTATTGGGAGTGATGGATCAGGAGGGGAAGGTCATTAATGTAAATAGCAAACAGAGTAGGAGATCAAGAGGAACCCTGAGGGACACCACAGGAGAGGGAAGTGTCTTTGAAGGAGGTTGATCTGGGACGACTACATACTGGGATCGATCGGAAAGGAAGGATTTGAACCAACGCAGGACACTGTTGGATAGAGGAAGATTTTGCAATTTGGTAAGATGGATGTTATGGTCAACTGTATCAAACACTTTGAAAAAATCTAGAACGATGAGGATAGTAAGGTTTTGGTGTTCAATGGAGTTTTGGAGGTCATGGGTTATTTTAAGGAGGGCAGATTGTGTTGAATAACCGGGTCGGAAGCCAGATTGGAATGGATTGATGAGGGAACGTTCTTCTAGGAAGTTGGAAAGTTGATTTTGGACAAGGCGTTCCAGTGGTTTTGAGAGGTTGGAAAGAAGAGAAATAGGAAGGAAGTCATTTTGGGAGGAAGGGTTAGATGTTTTACTCAAAGGTCGGACTAGTGCAATTTTCCAGGAAGAGGGAAATATGGAATTTTGCAATGAAAAGTTGTAGATATGATAAAGTACTGGAATAAGGGTAGGAAGGCTGGATTTTATAAGTTTTACTGGAATATTGTCAGGACCATAATCATTGGTGTGGTATTTTAGGATAGTGGAAAGTAGGACACATGGGAAAAAAAGAAGTTTTCAGGATTGAAATGGGTTCAATATCATGAGTAGGAGAAGGATTAGAAGCAAAAGATAAGAAATGGTCATTAAGATCATCTGAAGTCACAGGGAGGAAAATGAGGTTATTGGAATCTGGTAGGGATATATTACGAAGTATTTTCCATTTTGATTTGGAATCGGGAGCATTGGAAAGGGCATGATGAAAGTAGTTGGATTTAGCAAGTCGGATTATGGATTGGGTTGCATTGCGTAGTTGTTTGAAAAACGCATAATCAGCAGGTAAGCGGGTTTGACGGTATTTGCGCCTTGCTGCATTCATTCTCTTTATCATTCCCTTTATTTCAGGAGTCAGCCAATTGAATTGTAAAAAATCAGGTTTCTGTAAGTAGGATAGTTTATAAGTTTGGAATTTAAAAGATTTTTTAGGTTTAGGTTCTTTAATCTTATTTATAAACTCCTTTTCATTTTCATTATCTCACATTTCACGTAGACCAGTTATACTCCATTTTTCACTTAATATTTATTATCTCAGCATTATGCTATCTCCTTAAATTATTCTATATTATATTATTATACCATTTTGATCTTTATTTTACATTAAATCACATTATACTTCGTCTTTATTTTTAATTCTTTTCATTTCCTTTCATCACACGTTTCACATAGATCATTAATACTCCATTATTATTTAATGTTTATTACCTCTACATTATACCATCTCCTTCATTGCTTTATAAATGAATTTACTCATTTCTGTACAACTTTCAGTTTTCTTTTTCTTTAATCTCATTAAATAAATTCATTTTTGTTTTCTTTAATCTCATGTTTCACGCAGATCAGGTACTGTCCATTATTACTTAACATTTATTATTTAATTTTTATTATCTCTGTTTTATACTATCTCCAGATTATTTCCATCATCTTTCAATTAAACTTTTATTTAATAATTCATAGTATTTATCTATAATATATCTTTCATCCATTATATACATTTCGTGTGTTTTAGTTCAAATTTTTCAGTCAACCTTTAGAGATGGCTTAACAATACACCTCCCCCCTCTCTTGCTACAATACCTCGATCTCTCGAAGCCTTTGGTTCGATCAGGTTTGTTTATCTATCTTATCTTAATTTTCTCCTTATTTCCTTCTTACCATCACTCTATTTTCCATATATATTCCAATATGATGCAATTGTAGTGGGAGGGAGGGGAGCTAGCTGATGGCACCCTCTTTAACGTTTGACCGAAAAATGAACTAAAGCACAGGAACATATATGATGGAAGAGAGATTTATTATAGATAATATTTTATTTATTTATAATAGAGTACTACCTGAATACTCTATTATAGAGTACTACAATATTCTACTATCTGAGATCAGGTACTCTACTATAAATAAATAAAATGTGATCTATAATAAATCTCTCGTCCATCATATACGTTCCTGTGCTTTAGTTCACTTTTCGGTCAAACTTTAAAGTAGGGGCCATCTGCCAACTCCCCTCCCTCCAGCTACAATTTCGTCTGTCGGTCTTTGCTTTTTGGTACAGCTGGTTCGTTTATTTTTCTCCTTTTTTTTGTCCTTCCTGTCACTATACTTTCCATATCTCCATCTCTATTATATATATATTGATACATTTCCTCATACATTTTTTTACAATGTATTTTTTTTTTATAGATTTCACAATATCTTAATGTTCTATTTATATCTATCATATTTTTTTTTCTCTGTTTTACACTTTATTCTAGATTATCATTTTCATTTCTTATGTCACCTTATATTTCATTATGCTTATTTCATTGGTCCATGCTTTATTACCATTATTATTATTTATTTCTTAGTTCTCTGTTACTGTTATCATTCTACCTACTTTGTTTTACTTTAATGTTCATTCTATCTACTTCATTTTACGTTAAGTTTTTCTACCTTAAATTATTAGTTTATACCTTTTACCTTTTTTAATCTTAATTCTGTATTATTTAATGTTTATGGTTTCTTATACCTATTGTTATCTGATTCTTTTCCCAGCCCTGATGAAGGCCTGACTTTGGGTCGAAACGTTGGCGAATATAAAAATAAATACATTTATTTATTTTTACCATTTTATTTTGACTGATCACCCCAATCATCCTTCTCTTCAATTATTCACTACAGTCAACCATAATCCCACAATTATTATATGTTATAGTTTTAACACATTCAACAACTAATTGATCTTGGTGAAACTGAAAGAACAGTCTCTTGTTCAATGAAATTATTACACATTATTGCATTGCACAAATAACTATAAAATAAAATATATACCTGAGTGATATTGCTGATAATATCTTGAAATGCAGGATTATTCCGAAAGGTATCAAAAATATGCTTGTTGTACAGCAATGTATATATTAAATTGGTATTAGAAATTAGCTGATTTGATAAACAGGAATTCAGTACTTCCAAAATAATTCTTAAGGCTTTTTCAATGGCAACAAGCTGAAAAATAGAACACCAATCATAGCTGATGGAACATATATAAATGAATTATTAATATATTATATCCAACAGTGTAAACTTTAAATATACATACATGAATTACTATAGATCGTATTTATTTAACAATGCAAACTTTCATTAGCTGGAAGTATTTACATTTAGAAAGAGAAAAGAAAGAAAAGTAAATTTTTTCTAGGATGTTTAGACCCCTAAGAATAATTATAATAAACAGAAAGGTAACATTTGTCTGGCATTATAAGAAAATCAAGAAATAAAATAACACAATAATCTAACCTTAAAATTAAAATAAACAAAGCACAAGTAAACATATTAAATTGTACATAAATATATATGAGTGTGTTCACATATTTGTACTGATTATTGATAATACATAAGTATCTGTAAGATAACAGTCAAATAAAGGTGACAACTCTTAAGTATGAAAATTTTATACATATTTCAGAATATTGAATGTTGAGGAGGTGGAAAAATAAATGTTGTTTAAATGAGGTCAAGGAAGCGGATTAGATCTACAAGGTATGATTTGTCAGAAGGGTTGGTGCATAAATTGGTGTTAAAGTCACAAATAATTATAACATTATTGCATACAAAATCCTAACTAAAAAGGGAGGATTTTAAGGCAGGATCAAATCAGACTTGAGGAGGGCGATATGTAATGACATAGAGAAGGGAAAAAGATTCTGAGGGTTTCAACAAATAAATACTTTACATGAGGAAAGTCAGGAGAGGGAGTCTTGTGAAGGATTTTTATCCTAAGACTTTCATGAACTTAAAGACCAACACCACCTGTTCGGTCCATTCTATCATGACGAATGAGGTTGTAGTCAGGGATGGATACAGAAGAGGAAGGAACGTTTGGTTAGAGCCAGGTTTTTTGAAACTGTAATAATATGATAAAAATTATTCAGTTTAAAAAAAAACAGAATAATATTCCTGGGAAAAATTAAATATTGAGAAAAATATAGAAGAAAAAAAAATTGATAACTATGAACGGAATATATAGCAGAGAGGTAACAATTGTGATAGCATCATAGAAATGCATACAAATCTTCGGCTTTGTTACTGACAATGACCTGCAAGCCATCGTCTTTTCAGCACCTGACACGCCCTCTGGGGAACCAAATGTATCTGATTTTTCCATCTACCTTTCTTTGTCTCATGAGCCAGGAAAGATGATGATTGTATGAGGTCATTTCTTCACCGATATATATAAATGTATATATATATATATATATATATATATATGTGTATATATATATGTATATATGAGGTGCCTGGTGGTGAAATCCTTTTCTATCCTTATAAGTCATAACACCTCGTCCCGGATTGTGTGGTGGACAAAATGCACGATGATCGACAGTGGATACTCTCCTCTAGGATACTTTCTCTCCACCAAATCCAGGACCTCGGCATTAAGCTTAACACCTAGGGCCGTCCCAAAAGACAATATTATCCCCTCGGACATTTTCCTAATCTTCTGAACTTAAGCAAATGGGAAAACTGGACCTGCTCTACAGTTTAATCCGATCTCCATATTTTTAGATTATTATTTTCTGTTAACAGTTTTTCAAAAAGCTCCTCCTGTCTTTTGGAATGATCTTCCATCGACTTAAGCCGTTTCGAATTTACAAACGACAGATTTGCTTGTTTGTCGACATTACTTTTATATCATCGGTAATTTTGCTTAGCTCAGCTAGAACTACTGAGAAGTTTTCTTCCATGTTAGCACTTAGAATACCAATAATCTGCTTCAGTTTGTTAAATTTGTGGATCAAAAGTCTGACAGCAACATTGTTTTTTCTTTAATATGTCAATATTGGAAATATTAGCACATTTACTGTGATATATATATTTGCAGTTGAAGCACCCTAGGGCCGTTTTATCATATATAGTAACTGCTAATTTCAGGTTGTTCAGCGATTCTCCTCCAAAAAATTCCCATAAATTTCCTGATTTTTCAGATTTTCATCAGTTTAACATAAAAAATAATGAGTACTAGCTATAATGTAATGTAACCTCTTATTGGAACCTATACTTATGTTACAATTTTTATTTTATTTTATGAAATGTATATTCGAGTATTGGTCTGCACATATACATAGGGAGTTCTGGAAAAGTATAATATATAAATTTATTATTATTAGTTTAAAAGTGAGTTCCTTTATATCAAATGGAATTGGGTTTTATATTTAAATTGATAATTTTTATTATTTTATTTTTTTCCTGTGGGGAGGGCAGGAAATTAATGTCAGAGTTTAAAGCCCCTACAGCAACGGAATGAGAACTCGTTATTATTATATCTTGTAAACTTCTGTTTATCAGGTTTCTGGGCAATGCGTGTTTTGCAAAAGCGTTAGCCCATCCCATATTTAAATTGAGTTGGAGTTTGAGAGGTGCACATCTATGGCTTCTCTAAATTAATTTATCAATTTAGAAATATGAGTTGATGTGAGAAAATTTATTAAGGTTATACAAATTAACAACAAGAAAAGCAAAATTTACAAATCAATCTATAAAATGAATGTGCTGAACTATAACATAATGCTGAAATATGTAAAATAAAAACTAATTACCATGTAATTTATGTCCCTAAGTTCTCAACTTTTTCTTGCGACCCCTCTGCCTCCTGACATTTCTTCTGCCTTCCTGACATTTGAAAAATAACGTGTTGTGATCGAATGTCAATAATACTTTATTTGAAGATGCTGCACTCATTAATTTAGTAGCAGTTAACAAAAACAAGATGTAGAAAGTAGAGAAAGCCCATCTGGACAATAGTTTAATTTTTAACCATCATCTGACAAGCACAAGAGGAGGACCGTAATAAATTACACCGTAATTAGTTTTTATTTACTGTATTTCATTGTTATATTTTCGTTCATTTTATAGATTGATTTGTAAATTTTGCTTTTTATTGTTGTTAATTTTTAAATGATTATTATATTTAGCCTGATGAAGGATTTAAACCGGTAGCAAGAAAGAATAAACAATTATATACATGACATCTTTTTATTGAATTTTATTCTTTGTTTATTATTATATTTGTTAGATGTTTCGGGAAACGTTCTTCTCATCGTCAGAAACATATAATTAACAGTTGACATTTTTATTTATTTTTTTTTTTTTATTAGAAAAACACATTTACGTTATCACAAAAGGAGTAAAAAAGAAAATTGTTTTTTTTTAATTCCCGAACATTTTCCAGTTTGACATATTCCCGTAGAATTCTCAGTTTTTCCGATTATCCTGGTCACTGGACACCCTGTAATTTGCATAATGGACACGATGTCATATTGAGATATAGAATACTTTGAATAGAAACAATGGAGAAAAAATACAGAAAAATGAAACAATGGAGTGGTAAAGGGGAAAGTGGTGGGGAACAATAGTAGCAGTGGGGGAATGTAGAAAAGTATTCTCTTATCAGAGCTCGGTCTTAATGCCTGGCCACCAGTTTACCTGCAATTGTAAATTATCTGATACCGTATTAACTATAGATGCTGTAAACACCACACTGAGTAGTTTTTAATAATATGAAAAATATATTACCCACAAATTGAAAACCATGAAGAGTATGAGATTGGTTAAAATAGCACAAAGTCACAGAGGAGGTACATATTGTTTGACAGCAGAAGCCATTTATTATCAAAATTTACATTTATATAGTATTTATTGTTGCTTTTTAGGTTGTGAATATTTCCTTTCTTCTAAGCGAATTAATTTTATTTTTTCTTTAAAATGGTAACATAATTCAAAGTTTCAGGGCCGAGCCCCATCATAGGAATTCACTATAATATAATTATTCTTATTACATTCATTTGGACAGTTAGTTATACAATTTAAAATAATTCATATTAACATTTTTTTATATATGCAACTATTTTTTTATAGTACACATATTTATCATACACATAGTTATGAGACACATAACAGTACCTGTTAGCATACAACATTTATTTTGTTCTTGTCTAATTAGTGTTCTCAATAGTTTTAAGTCTGAGTTTAGTAGTGATTTTTGACTATACATATCTATTAATAGTGCAGCTTCTACTGGAGAGGTCAAATCTTCAATTTACCTACGTCCCAAGTCGAAGGAAGTGAAGGTAGCAAGTTGAGATTTAATAGAATTATACAGGTCTTGTCTATCTTAGTTACTTCAAGGAGAAGGGAGTGCATGAGTAGAGATAAGACATACAGCTCATCGTTATCTAAGTCTCAGTATCATCTCTGTCAGTACTTTTACTCGGTCTACCGTTGACTAAATTATTATTGTACTAGTTAAAATGGTTCAATGCTCCATTTGTAAACTAACAGTGACGAGGGAAGATAAAAAAACTCTGACATGTATCATTTCTAATTGATAGGCCATAATTCATGGCAAATGCCTCAACATAGAGGAGGTGGAATTTGAAAGATTAAGAGCTTCGAGAAAAAATTGGGCATGTCCTAACTGTCAAAAGACCCATAAAAACCCACTAAGTGATAAGCAACCCAGCACTCCAAAAGTGGCCACACAGCAGACAGCTGTTGATCACACGTCCCAGCTGCAGTTAACAGCCATCAAGGACCTTATGGCGGAAGTCAAGGAATTGTAATTCTCTATTGATACCAACGCAAGAGAGGTCAAAGAATTAAAATTACCTCTCAAAAAACTGGCTTCTATCACATTCGAAAATTCAGAGAAATTAAAAACAATAGTCTATAGTCACTTTTGAAGAACCAAAATTCAAAAATTGACAGTCTGATGCTGGAAGTTCCGAAACATATTCAAGTTTTGGGTTGCAGAACTTGAGACAAGGCTCAATAAATCTGAACAACTGCAGCTAGCCAGGTCGATAAAAATAAGGGGAGCCCCAGTTAGATTCTAATGGGCTTAGTGATGAACATGGGAGTAGGCCTGGGTGTGAGCTTGAGGCTGGAGGATATTGACTGTATGGAGCGAATAAGATCGAGGCAAGATGATACACCCGGTCCACTTTTGGTGAGGCTTGTCCAGCAATCGCTAAAAGATGAGATGGTTCAGAGGCAGAAGGTCGTCAAGGGCTTTCCAATGTGACACCCGGGCTGGCAAGAAAACGATGCCCACAAGATACATGTTAGCGAAGCGATGTCAGTAACCAATAGACACTTTTACTGGTTAGGCCGGCAGAAAAGGTCGGCCGGGATATAAAATATGTATGGTTTAATGGGGAAAAAGTCAAATGCCGTTAAAATGACGGCCAGCAGTTGTTGATCATCAACTCCCCCTCTGATCTAGACCTATTTACATGACAAGTAAGCGCCAGTTGCTTCACTGTATTCCACTCAGTCTGATTCTCCTGACCCTGAATATCTTTTTGCTGAAATCCTCACCACCTTGTCTTCCCTTCTTTTTGCTGACATCTATCGCCCTCTTAGAATTCCCTTTGACCAAGCATTTGATACTACTCTTTACAACCTAATCCCATCCTACTCCAATGTTATCTTAACTGGAGACTTCAATACCAATTTATTAATTCCATCCTCTAATTATTCTTACTTAACAACCCTCCTCAATTCTCCTGGCCTTTACATAGTGCTCTATAATTCAACTCACCACCCCCAATTCTCAGAATCCTGGATCAATCTGTTTATCCTAGATTCCTCAGACAAACACCTTGCTGCATATCAGCACCCTGTCCCATCTTTTTATGATCTTATCCAGATTTCTTACAATGCCCTGGTCCCATTGTTCTCTTCCCAAACTATATCCTTCTGAAACCTGAATTCCCTAACCTATGAAACCCTCTCATATTATCTTGTGGCTATCCAATGGAACTCCATTTATCACTTAAACTCCATTGACACCATGGCAGAAACCCTTACCACACACCTTCATACCAACCTAGATCGTCATGCTCCTCTTATAACATAAACTATCCAACATACTCCCGCTTCTTGGTTAACACCTGCTCTGAGAGAATGCATGAGAAAAGATGCTGTGAGACGGTGATTCAAAAGAACTCGCCTTCCTGAAGATTATCCCTCCTTCAAACAACTCCGAAATAGCAATCAATCTGTAATAAGTTGTGCCAAATCCCTTTATTTCCATCAATCCCTCTCCAGCACTCCAACTTCCAAAACAAAGTGGTCTATCTTGCATAAATTGTCAGCAGGTAAACCCACCCAAACCCAATATATCTCTATATCAGCCTCACTTTATTTCTTCCCCCACCAATTCCTCTTTCCTAGTGCCAGTTCTGGCTCCCTTCTTTCCTCCTTTAATCTCAACCATTACTCTTTTTCCCATATTACTCCTGATGATCTTGTTAATTCTATTCGTCAATCCCAAACCAATGATTTTTGACCAGAAAACATCCCAGTTAAATTAATTAAATCCTCACTTTCCTCCATTACCCTATCCTTTATCATATTTATAACTTCTCGTTGCAAAGTTTCACTTTCGCCAGCACCTGGAAAACTGCTCTTGTTCGTCCGCTGAATAAAACCTCCAATCCCACAAACCCTAATGATTTCCGCCCAATTTCTTTATTATCTAACCTTTTCAGATCTCTAGAATGATTAGTTCAATCCCAATTATCCCACTATCTTGAGCAAAATAACCTTCTGAACTGCCACCAATCCGGTTTTAGACCAGACTACTGCTCTACCCATTCCGCCCTCATTAAAATATCCCAAGATCTCCACACAGCAATAGACCAACAGAAATTCACCATCCTTGATTTTTCCAAAACCTTTGATTCATTAGATCGCAATATCCTGCTTGCCAAACTTAAAAATATCTCATTGTCTTCCAGTAACCTTAATTGATTCCAAACCTTCTTCACAGATTGCTCCCAGTATATTGTAGTCCCTAATAATCCCCATTACAGTCTTTACTTTTGTACAGAGGTGTTCCACAGGGTTCCTCCTTATCTCCCACCCTTTTTCTCCATTTTTATCAATGACCTTCCATCCTCTATCCTGCACTGTCAGTACCACCTGTATGCCGATGACATCCAAATTTACCTCTCCTTCAGTCTGGCTGATTCTACTGGTACAGTACCAGTAGAATGATACAATCCCAAAACTTCAGGAAGATATAGATAGAATTTGTTCTTGGGCAATCCGTAATAGGCTCACCCTAAACACCGAGAAGACGAAAGCTATCCTTATCGGACCCCCTCCCTCACTCATCAAATCCAATACTGTACCTCCCAATCTTATCCTAAACAACTCAACTATCTTGTTCCACACTTCTGTTAAAAATCTTGGTCTTATTTTTGATCAAACATTCTTCTGGAAGCCACACATTTCTCAAATTTCCTGTCATACTATTTCTACTCTGAAGCAGTTCACCCTCAACGATATCACCTCTTGTTTTCCTCCACTTCAACTATGGTTATATGCGGTGGATTCTCGGGAGAACTCGAAGCCAAACTCAAAAGCCAAATGAATTGCTTTATACGTTTTGTCTTTGAGATCTCAAGAAATACGCATATTAACCAGTATTACACTGAGTTAAAGGCTCTATCCATCCTACCACCATAAGTACTTCTTGCTAGCTTTCTATACCAGGCCATTAGTAGTCAGTGGCCCTCTTATATTCTTCAAATCCTCCATTCAATCTTGTCCCACCAGATCCCATACTTCCGATCTCTATCCTCCTCTTCACCAAACTGCTGTATTTGACAAATCTTTTGTAATTCAAGCTGCCTCCTTTTGGAATTCTATCCCTCCCAATGTCAAACATGAACAATCATTTTCCTCATTTAAATCTCTTCTTTTTAAGCACCTACTCCTTTCTAAACCCGAATGATCACAAAATGTACATAAGAGAATTTCTTAAGTTACCTCAGAAACTATTATGTTTACTTATGTTTTTTTCTTCCTATATTTTTATTTGAATTAGATATTATTTTGTAAATATTTAAGTTAATGTATGACACACAGGCATTTTCTGTGTTTATAATTTGTTCTAGAGAGACAAGTCCCAAGATAATAAAAAATATTTTCATTTCATATAATTAAAAAACTGCAATTATAAACTATAGCCAGTAATTAATATTAATTATAATATACAGGAAATGTAATAAAATGAAAAATTAAACAGTACATATAAGATAAATAGCAATAGAAAAATAATTGGTAGATAATGGGAGAAAGGAGAATTAAAGTAAATATGAATATAAATAATGAATAGGATCAAGCCTAATTAATAAGAGAGTTCAGTGTAAAAACGCAAGTATCTAAAGGGAAGTTTCTAATAGAATATTTTAGCCAAACATTGCATATAAAAATAGGATGATATAATATATTACACATTTTTATCGTAAATATTAATAGAAATAAATGGTAATAAAACATGATTAAATTAAAAATTATTACATATATAAAAATATTAAGATAAATTATTGTAAAATGAATAACTGTACATACAAATGTAATAACAATAATCATGTTGTAGAGAACTCCTGATGATGGGGTTCAGCCATGAAACATTGATTATGTCAACATTTTATAGAAAAAATAAAATAAATATGCTAGGAAGAAAAGAAATATTCACAATATAAAAAGGAACTATATTTCTCGAATTATAATTGAATTCAATACTAAGTTTAATAAAATACTTAGTAACAGAAAAATACTTCATACTTAGTAACATAAATTAATAAAATAGAATTATTCCAGAATTATTTTTACTTTGTTTATGTCTAATTATTTTTTTATGTTTTTTTAAGCTTATGTTTCTATGGTTTTAAGGACAAGCAATTTCAAATGATAATTAACAAAAAATATTAGTATTTATTGAAAAACTATAATTTCTAAACAAATTCTTCAATAAAATCAAATCTACATATAATTATAATAAATAAATGATTTAGAAGAGAAAAAAAGATTTAATACCATAGTAATAGAGAGTAATATGCAAAGTTTTAATATATATATTTAGTAAATATATAAATATGATTTATACTATACCATGGTTTAAATTTTAGATTCAAACTCTGCACCAAATCGTCCAACTTTGATGGGTTTTTTTTTTTACATTTTGTAGGAAATTTAGTAAGCTTTCAAATACTTATATGTATAATGGACCAAAAAAAAAAATGGACCATGAGCAGACCAAGGACTGCTACATTTGTCTGTTGCGCCAATAATGAATGAATGGTTTAACAATTGTGTTTTCTTAAACTTATAATTTAAATAGTTGCTTTTTCCTTCACTGGATTATCATAAATTTACAAAAGCTTCTAAACATTGCTTTGAATTTCTGATGAGGGCAAAAGACAAAAAGATCAAAATCTCAGAAAAGAATAATTAGACCAATTATTATGTATGTTACTTTATAATTAAAAAAATCGAAGTGTATTTTCGAAATGATAAACTTCAATAATAAAGATCTAAAAGTAAAAGCTAATGTAAGTAAAGCACATTGACAAATATTCAAAAAACGTTTTTAATGGAAGACAAATTTATATAAATAAAAATAAAATTAAAAATTTAATATATTCAAAACATTAAATGTTTTTAAATTAAAAAAAAAAAACTTATGGATAAATTATATACTATACTCCAGGAAAAGGGGCAATTTCCAAAGTCTTAAATTCTCATATGCTTCAGAACCTTTGCTGTACAACAAATAATAAATGTTCAGAATGCTAAAACTCTGCACCAAATTGTCCAATTTCGATGAGTATTTTTACATTTTGAAGGGAATTTAGTAAGCTTTCAAATACTTATATATATATAATGGACCAAAAATTGTGTAATTTTTGAGTTATTCACTAATCAAGAATTCATTCCTAACATCCTGATCCGTTGAGATGGTACCATCACATGGTTTAAAAGCTCCCACTTTTACATTGACTTTTTTATTCCTGGTATAAAATCAATCAAAATTACGATTCACCCATTCTACGTGATATTATCTTTCAATTGATACCTCATTCATCAAAATCCATCACTCCTGAGAGCCAGAAAAGGGATATGTATTCAGAAATAATATATAAGAAGAAGATAGTCAAAAAATAATATTTTGGAATAGTTGTAAATGGTACATGATCACATGTAAAAAAAAAACTTTTAGCATAATGAAAATTAGATGATAAAATGATTTCTGTATTTAGAATTCTCTTACAATATTAATTTTGATGGTGTCATTTTTTGATGTGTGGCTGCAATGCTGATGGTACCAAAAAGGCTATCTACCAGTTATCTGGTTTCCTCATGCATTATCATTTTATAGCCTATAAAATTCACTATCATATTTATTTTAAACCTGATGATTAAAAACTAATTTTGTAGTTATTAAAATATAAATATGTTAGCTCCCAATTTCTATCCTTATTTTGACTATGATTTCTTTCTAGTGACATTTAACTTAAGCATCTTGATGGCTTCCTTTGATAGCATCCAACCTTACAATGGCAATACTTCCTTAGCTATCACTGTTGGTATATTAATACCATAAGAAAAAAAAAAAGAGAGGACAGTATAACATCAGAATATAAGGTATAACTACATCAATATGACCTTTTTTCTGAATTGAATATTGTGTAGCTTCCAGATAATGTTATTTAACATAATATCCATAAAAAATAACAGCTACTATACTGCAGGTTAACTTCTCTGATGCTCAGGAATGATGAAAATTCATTTTCTATACCTTTCAAATTAGTGAACAGTTCATAAACAAAAATCAATGTGGCAATTTAAATACAATAAAGTGATAACAAAGTTGTTGAACGTGAAATACATATATTTTTTTCTATTCGCTTTACAGACCCCGTAGATCTTTTGCTATCTCAATCAGCTTTATCTCTGCCTGTCTTAGGCTATTTCTTCCCAGTTATCAGCATCCAGCTCTATTGCATCTTTATTGATTCAATCTATCCATATGTTTTTTTTTGGTCTTATATGCTTACTGTTGAGGCATTCATTGTTGTTCAATGGCTTTCTGATGGATTGCTCTGAGATACATGTTCCACCCATCTTAACCTCCCTGCCTTCATATCATGAGATATTTATTGACGAGTTTCTGCAAGAAGTTCTTTATTGGTCTTTCTCCTCCATGCATTAGAACTCTGATCCCAGTTCACTCCAATTATTTTATACCCTTAATTTGAGATTTTTAGGATTTCTATACCTTTAAAAGAGAGAAGAAAGCACTGTTTGCGCTTGTTATATACTGGTTGTTTCCGACAGTTGGTCACTTGTTGAGGTTAGAGAGGAACTGAGGAGCTTGAATTTGTCTAATATTAGGAACAATTTCTATTCTATGCATATTATATCCTTGCTGGAATTTTCAGCTTATTATATATAATATATTATTTTTTATCTTCATTTATTTGTAGGTCGATTTGCTCTGCTTTTCTTATCAGAATCTTAGCAAGTTTCTCAACGTCCTGTTGGTTACTTCCAAGGACAGCAGTACCATCTGCATATCCAAGAATTTTCATTTTGACATGCACCCCTCCATTTTCACGTGATGTTCTTATCATCTTCTATAGTACTAAGTTGAACAACATCGGTGATAGTCCATCTCCCTGCCACGAACCAGTTCGAACTTTGAAGGATTCAGATACTTTTATTGGGACTCAACATTTAGGGCCGTTTGTACATGCCTTCGTCAATCTCAACAACTTTCCAGGAACTCCCAGTTCAGTCATAATTTTCCAAAGATAGTTCCTGTCCAAGAAATCATAGGCTGCTTAAAATTGATGAACAAAGTGTGCACATGTTTGTTCGAGGGCATTTATTATAATAATTTGAAAAATTTTAGTAGTTACTGTTTCATTATCATTTTGTTTTACTTCACACACAGGAGTATTTATCTTGGAGATAAAGATATTAATATGGCTGTTACAAACATATTATTTTTAAGAAAGGTCAGTACAAATTTTAATATAGGGTTTCTTGATTTTGCTATGATAACTAATTTCAACAATGGAATAGTATATACTGGTAATTAATGGAAACTATAATGTTGATATAATCAGTGGCATAGAAAATACATCTGAGGGTGCCCCATTAAAAATATTCACCAAAACAGGAGTTCTAAATACAAAAATCATTTTCCTATCTGATAAAATCTCTAAAGCCAGAAGTTCACATATAATATTAAACAATCCCATCAATCACTTTCTGAAATCAACAAAGACATAAAAACTTAATACACATAAAAAAACAAAATACCTCTTGTCTAGCACGATTGTATGTTTTGGCTAAAACCTCAAAAAGCCCCACAAGCCGCTGACATACATAAGATTGTAGGTTTGAAAATTGAGATGACATGTTCGCTAATGCAGCAAGGCAATTAGTATGCAGATATTCATCCTAGAAATTTAGAATAATCTCTAAAAATTAAATAACAAAGTAATTTTTATCTAATAAGAAATGATTAATAGTTTAGTTCTAATTAACCTTTATAAGATTTGGGCATAAAAAGTTTCTATGTAATAAAAAATTCCTGAACTAAACATTAACATTGTTTTTAAAAATAAATAAAGGAAAGGCAGTGAAAAGGTCATTAAAACATAGTCCTCAGCATGACAAAATTCGTCATTTTATCGTCATTTCATAATCACCAACAGCCGAATGACGAAAATTCGTCATTTTACAATCACCAACAACAAAAATATGTCATTTGTATAATACAAAAAATAATTGATTCTTGTTGTTTTAGTTTGAAAATTTAGCTACTCTATCACTATTACTAGTGTCCTTGAATGTGATAGAATGTAATATTACTTAATAAAGAAATGTTTTAATTTTGCCAAACAGAGATAAAGAGATGCCATTTTGTGAATGTCAGCACAAAAAATACCAGACGAATATGTGTTAAAATTTCTACAATATAAAAGCACCTGATATTGTGTTGCATCAGACTGAATCTTATACCCAATAATTTGAATGTTGGTTGTAGTCAGAACTAAGCCATATTATGAAGTGTTTGCCTGGTAAAACTAACTAAAAAAAATGGTGTTAGGTAGCAAAATGTGAAGTAATTGTGATTTTCAGGTAGATACTGGTCATAGTAATTACATCAACTATTTCTTTTAATCCTTATGTTGATAATGTTGGTGCCATCTGAGTTTTCAAAAAAAATTCTTTCTCAGGGCAATACGGAGCGAAAGAAATTTAATGGGAGCAGGAAAAAAATAAACAAAACAATTGAATCACCTAATGGTGCGATTGTACTTATATCACTTCAAAACTGCCAAGGAAATAAGGAAATAAACTTTTCAACATATTATATTTATTTTTTGTTTGAACAACATTTGTTAAAAACATGCATTAAACTTAATTTTAGGAAAAATAAAATTTTTACAGAGATACGTTAGAGATGTGATTTTTATGACCACGACTATATATTGGATGTACTAATCCTTTCATAAAAACTTGAAGTTTTCGATCTTCTACCCCTTACGTATTTTCCACCATCATACAAAAAAAAATAATAGTGATGGAATTTTCAGCATGTTTTATATGTAACAATTTGGAACAGCAACTAAATATATCTAAAAACCTAAATATGTTAGTAGTTTTGTACTATAAACTACTTTTTAGTGCAGTTTAATGCAAAATGCTTAATAACCAATCTTGTAAAGGATTAAATTCTCTAATTGTGGATTGATGGTGGGATTATCAGTAAAAAAAATAAATTAAAAAATAAATAAGTATATTTATTTTTGCCGATATTTCGTCCCAAAGTTTAGGCCTTCATCAGGGCTAAGAAAAAACAGATAACAGCAAATATGAGAAACTATTAGCATTAAAAAGAAAAAATAACATGTAGATGAAAGGTATAGTCAAAAAATTGTAGGTAGAATAAACTCAAAAGTTAAATAAAGTAGGTAGAATAAACTTAAAATAGAATAAAGTTAAAGGAAATTTAAAATAACGATAACAAAGTTAAGGGTCAAAAGTAGCAGAAGCAAAGTTAGGATACATAACATAATGGTAACAAAGTTAGGCCGACCCAATAAAATAAATGGGGTAACATAGTTTTAGTCTACGTCATCCCATTTATTTTATCTACACTTACGATTTTCATCTCATACATTCCATTACATTTCGTTGTTAATTCATTTTTTATTTCTTATGTGACCTTATTCCATTAATACCTACTTTATTGCCGTTACTATTAATTTCATGGTTCTCTGTTACTGTTATTATTTTATTCATAATTTCCTAACTTTGTTACCGTAATGTTGTATACCCTAACTTTGCTTTCGCTACTTTCTACCCCTAAATTTGTTTATTCGTGATTTTATATTTCCTTTAAGTTTATTCTACCTACATTTTTTAGACTATACCTTTCACCTACATATTATTTTTTCTTTTTAATATTAATAGTTTCTCATATCTATTGTTATCTGTATTTTTCTTAGTCCTGATGAAGGCCTGAACTTTGGGCCGAAACGTTGGCAAAAATAAATATAATTATTTATTTTTACATTTTTTTTACTGATCACCCCAACCAATCTTCTCTTTGATTAAATTTTCTATAAGATTCATACAAAACATTAGCAATTACTCCCAATAGATACCAAGAAATTGTTAGAAAAGAAAGTGGACTGGAAACTGAAAACATCACTATCTGTTTACAGTAGCATTCCTGAATGTAAGTTTATAATAGATTCTCCATCATGCATAATCATATCAATTATGTATACTTAAAGTATAAATAATAATTTTCAAAAAATGGTTTAGTAAATAAAACCAAGATCAGTATAGACAGAATTATCCTATAACATCTGTAGCAATAAAAGTAAATTGTAAACATACTTAAGGGAAAATGTGCAAGTCTTTTCTTCATGATTTATTGTTAACTATTTATAAATAGAAGAACATACAAACAATCTAAAAGCCTAAGTTTATTAGTAAAACAATCATATGAACTGTTACCCTCATTTTCAATAAATTATACTGAACAGTCCTTGTGGTTACCAGGATAATTAAGCCACCTAAGGTTATTTCTGAAAGTTGTCTATCAACATACCATGGTACACTTTTTAGAACCTAGAAAAGAAAATTCATTTAACAAACTACATAAAACGGATATCAAAACAAAAATAAAGAACAAAAAGATTTAGATTTAGTATTTGACCATTTGTCTTCAAATGCTTTCCAATGTTCTGCCAAACACAACTTCCCAATTGATGACACTATCTTCTACTCAACTCAAGCTCCCTGGGAGATCCTCTCTCTTGTAATTCCAAAAACTTGTCTCTCTGCCAAACAACTTCCAAGGTGGTAATACTATTACTGGGTTTTTCCCATTGGAGCCAGGATCATTTCTCATATCCTCTCTACATTGCAGTCACACAACAAATACTTGCCAAAACAAAAACATTTGTCCCTCTCCTCTTTGGGATTTTCCGTCTTGGGAACCTACAGAGCAGCCGTTTTCTTTTCCTTGCACTAGTAGAACTAGATTGGCTTGCTTTTTAACTGTTACATTAATTTATTAAATCATTTTTACCCACTTCCAATAAAGGTGTATATTACTATATATATATATATATATATATATATATATATATATATATATATATATATATATATATATATATATATAAAGTATAGAGCAGGTACTGCAGGCACAATTAAAGCTATTAAAGAAAAGTAATATTAAAAAATGAGTACATTAATAACGAATACATTCATATCAATATATTAAGTTGTGTGTAAAAGTTGATTTTTATTTTTTAATCAAAATTTTTTTGATATAGTTTAATCATTATTTACGTAAAACCATATCATTATTTTAAATCGAATCAATAAAAAACATCAAAGATTGATTATAAATCAGGCATGATTTTAAAATTAAAAATCAAACATAATAATTATTACACGATTTTGTGGAAAAAATAATTATGGATTTCAAATCCTATAATAATAAAAGGCTTAGCGAACTTGAAAGTTCAATGCTGACACCACCAACCGCTGTTAACACACCTCTCTCCACCGATCGCCGTCCAAACCCAGACCCTTCAGATCGGCCTTAATGCAATCTTCCCACCTTTGCTTCAGTCTACCCCTCAGATCTTTACCAGTCGACACAGAAAATATTAAACTTTTAGGAATTCATTTGTCACGAAGCCCAACAATTGCTACAAACCCATTTTATTCACCGCAATGTAATAACCTCAATTATATTAACCTAATATAATTCATGCAATTCGGCGTTGTGTAACTGTCTGAATTCTCTGGTTAACTCATCCTTCTTCGATTAGAATGTTTTAAGCAATACTTTATTTTTAAAAATTTTAAGACGTTGCTCATCCCTTCAAATAAGTGGCGAAGTTTCGCATCCATGAAGAACCGCAGGTTGAATAATGGTTTTACAGATTCTAATTTTTAAGTTCCGGGACAGGAGGTGCGAGCTAAGTAATTTTGTCACAGAAAAATAATAACCATTTCCCGCCTTCAGCTTAACCTTATTCTCCTCTACAATTTCTTTATTTTAGTTATTGTAGACCCTAGATACCTAAACTTCTCTGCGTATTCAAATATATTACTTTCAATATCGATATAGCCAGAATTATCACCATTTTTGTAGCTAACCATATATTTTGTCATATCCGTGTTTATTTTGAGCCCTAGTTCTTTACCGGCTTTCATTAGTGTTGTCGTATTTAAATTTATAGTTTCCTTGTCTTCGCTTAACAGAATCAAATCATCATCATAGCCAAGCATGGGTGTTATTCCACCCAGATTCAACCCTTTTTTGGTACGCATTACCTCCTTAATGACATGTTCTAATGCCAAACTAAACAGCACAGGTGAAAGGGGATCTTCTTGTTTTATACCCAAACTTTTCGGATAAATAGTTACCGATTCTAACTTTAATGTCCATTCCCTCAAGAACATTCTAACTAGATCTATTAATTTTTTTGGAATGCCCTGCTCGATTAAAATATTAAACACCTTCTGGCAATCATAAGTCTTTTTGAAATCAATATACAGCTGATGAACAACGCCACTGTACTATAATTTTTTCTCCAATATTTGCCATAAAGAAAATATTTGATCAATAGTTAAACAGTTCTGTCTAAATCAGCATTGATAGTCTCTGATAATTTCCCCTGCGTATTCCATTATTAGATAAGTAAGGATTAAGGTAAATATTTTATAAAATACCGGAAAAAGAGAGATTCCTCTATAGTTATTACAATCCGTCCACGAGCCCTTTTTATTAATTGGAATAAGAATAGATTCTTTCCATTGTTCAAACAATTTCTCATTTTTCCAGATATTTTTAACCAATAAATGTATTTTATAAACTCCAGCTTCTCTGTATGGCTTAATTAGTTCACTAGGAATATTAACGGTTCCCGCTGCTTTATAAGATTTTAGTTTTAGCTACTTCAACTACCTCTTTACTCAGTTTTTCTATTAATGGTTCAGCAATCTGGTACTCAGGAGGACACAGATCATTATTTCCCGTACTTAAAATATTGTCAAAGGGATTTTTATATTATTAAATGGCACTACATCCCAATTATTTGAGACTTGGCCTGCTCCAGCATGGATCTCCGGTTCTCCCGGTTAGTTGCTGAAACCTTCCAATTTCTGACACCAAGTAGTCTACATGCATCAGCAGCCACACAGTCTTGCCAGCACAAAAATGGTCTTCCCACTCATCTGTTTCCAAACACAGGCTCATTCATAGCTCTCTGTGGGGGTGCATTCATATCCATCCGCACGACATGTCCCGCCCAGCGTAGTCTTGCCAGTGTTTGGCAAGACTACGCTGGGCAATTGGCTCACATCCAGGTCATTAAACAATGTCTTTATTTCCAAATTTGTTCTCCTCCTCCAATTCTGTGGTGTTTCCTGGACCCCTCCAAATATGCGTCGTATAATCCTTCTTTCAAATCTGAGCAGGGATTTCTCAACTGCTTTAGTTAAGGTCCAACTCTCACAGCCATATGTGAGCACTGGTTTAATAAGAGTTTTATATATTCTTATTTTGGCCTGTCTTGACAACATTCTATTTCGAAGATGTCTCTGGAGAGAGAAATAGCACCGATTAGCCACTGCGATCCTCCTGTCTATCTCACAATCAATTTTATTTCATGCATTTATCAATGAACCAAGATATACAAATTCGTCAACATTCTTGATTCTACGCTGTTCCAGCCATGCTTGGTTTTCCTTTGTTAGACGTGAGGAAAGGGTGGACATATATTTTGTTTTGGATGCGTTGACAATAAGACCGATTTTGGCTGCCGACCCTTCCAGACTTGTAAAAGCTTCCTGTACTGCCGCAAACGATCTTCCCATTATATCAATGTCGTCCGCATATCCAAGTATTTGGGTCATTTGATTTAGGAGGGTTCCTGTAGTCTGGATACCAGAATCCCTTATGACTTTTTCAAGGGTAAAGTTGAATACCAGACATGCCAGAGCGTCTCCCTGCCTTACACCTGTCGATGTTCTAAACCCTTTTGACAAGTCACCTTGTACTCGTACGAAACACTCATTACCCTCCATTGTCATCCTAACAAGCCTTACAAGTTTTTTAGGTACATTCATTTCTACCATTGCTTTCTATGCTTCCTCACGATTTATGGAATCATATGCTTGCTTGAAATCAATGAAGATGTGATGTGTACCAATTCGATATTCTTTGGTTTTCTCCAGAAGGATTCGCAAGGTGAATATTTCATCGATGGTTGATTTACCCCTAATGTATCTGGCCTGGTATTTTCCGATTGCAGCCTCAGCATAAGAAATGATTCTTCTATAAAGAATCCTTGAAAAGATTTCATAGGCGGTGGGTAGAAGGCATATGCCCCTGTAATTATTACATTGATAGACGTCCCCTTTTTTGTACACTGGGCATATAATGGATTTTTTCCAATCACTTGGAAGCTCTTCGTCAACCCAAACGGCATTAAACATTTCCTGGAGGAGTTTTATGAGCTCTTGACTACCATGTTTATAGAACTCTGCAGGGATGTTATCAATGCCTGGGGCTCTATTGCTTTTTAGTCCTTCTATGGCTTCATTGATTTCTTCCTCGTCTGGGGGTTCTACGTCTTCACCACCTGTAATTGGATCATTTGCCTCTGAGACATTTGTGCCATTTCTGTTAAGAAGAGTTGAAAAGTATTCAGCCCATCTGTCCGAAATGCCTTGTTTGTCAGTTACTAAGGAGCCATCGTTTGCTCTGCATCCTGTGGTAAGGGCCATAAAGGGCTTTCTTCCTTTATTAATAACCTGGAAGAATTAAGGCCTCTTCTATCTCCTGTAGACTCTTATTCTCCCATCGTCTTTTCTTCCTCCTATAGACATGCCTCTCGCGCCTTCTCGTTGCTCTGTATTCCTCGACAGAGCTTCGTGTGTGCTTCCTTTGCATCATTTTATTGTATTCAATGTTTTTTCTCTTGGGCACTGCACCACATTCGTCATCGAACCACGGGTTATATATCTGCTTGGTCTTATCTCCTACAACCTCGTTCCTTAATCTGATGTCCAGTTCGTATGAGAATCTAATGCTTGTATCACTGTTCTTAAACTTTTCAATATTGTACCTCTTCAGAGAACGTCGAGGCTGGTACTTCACTGTTGATATCCGATACCTTATTTTTGCAATTATAAGGTAGTGGTCCGAGTCAATGTTAGCCCCTCGTTTTGTGCAAACATCAAGTAATGATGATTTATATCTGGTGCTGACGAGTACATGGTCGATTTGAGAGCTTGTAGTGGATCCGTTCCATCCGAATTTCTTCCATGTTTCTAGATGCACTAACTTGTGCAGGAAATAGGTACTTCCCACAACCAAACCCTTAGAGGCTCCGAAGTTCACCATCCTTTTTCCATTGTTGTTAGAGTTCTCATGAAGGTTATTTCTTCCTATAGTAGGCATAAATGCTTTCGCTTTTCCAATTTGAGCATTGTAGTCTCCAATCACTATTTTCATATCATGAGCAGGGCAGTCATCAAAGCACTTCTCCAGTTACTCATAGAATTCGTCTTTCATTTCATCTTCAGAGACTTCTGTAGGCGCGAGTACACAGATGATGCTGACATTGTGAAACTTTCCCTTGATTCACAAGACACAGAGTCTGGGGCTGATAGGCTTGAAATCTATAACTTGCTGGGTCACTCTTCTTCCCACAATGAATCCAGTCCCAAACGAGAGTAATTGGTCATGACAACTGTAATATTATTTTATTTATTGTTACATTCCGCATCTACCCGATCTGGTCATTAGCGGAACAACTGTAATAAATGGTGTGCTGGCCTTTCTTAAGGCTGCCTTGTCCAGTCCACCTGATCTCTTGGATGGCCGCTATGTCTATTGAATATGTTTTTAAAATGTTTAGGAGCGTTCGTGTTGCTCCGGGTCTATGTGAAGTTAAAACGTTCCATGAAGCCAAAGTGTAGTCCAATTGATGAGCGTTGTGTCGTTTCCTGTTTATCGGTCCGGCTAATATTTTTGGAGCATTCATAATAGAGGTAATTTAAGGGGAACGGGTTATCGGCCCACTGTCCCCGAGTCAGGTGGAGGGGCTGCCTCCTCAGAGCATCCTGACGTGCTCCCCCATCCGGGGGGCTTCCTAGGGAAGGTGATCCTAGGGGGTGTTCTGTTAGTGACCTTGTGTCAGTGTGAGTGAATTGTGTACTGTGTGTTTTGCGCAGTGTACTGGACTCGGGAGGCCGGAGGAGCGTCAGTCCCCACTAACTGTGTGCTACAGCTAGCCCCTGCGGCGAAAAAGTGATTTTTAAACTTCTTTAATATATCTACCGGATCGGTCAGAATATTATTACATTCATCCCTAATTCTAGATGTGACGTGCCCTAAACATTTAAGTGAACTGTTTATATCTTTGTACATGTCTCTAACATTATTTTCTACTCTATTATTTTCTATTTCAATTATTTTATTTTTAAGATACTCTCTTTTATTTATTTTTAAGCTATTTAGTCGTTTCATTCCTAAACGTTCGGAAGGATTCGAGATTGTCTTCGCTAGGGTTATTTAGAGCTTTTAATTTAGCAGCTTTTCTTTTATTTCATTAATTATACTGTTTTGCCACCTATGTTGTATCAAGACATGATCGATTTGATTTTATGTTTGCAAATCCAGTGATATCCAGGCATATTTATGAATATCCTTATGTTTAAACATAGTACTTTTAATTATCAGGTTTTTCGAGATAGCAAAGTTTATCAGACGAATTCCATTATCATTACTGTATTCATGCAAATATTCTTTGCCAATCGTCGGAAAATAAACTTCTTCCCTTCCCACCTTTGTGTTTGCATCACCTACATACTACTATTTTTATGGAGTTTTAGCAGTAGTTTATCATAAACCCACTCGAGTTTGTCATAAAATTCGCATTTGACTTCATCATCACTGTCTTGCGTTGGACAATGCATGGTTATTAATGCGATTTTAAACCAACACCCTGAAATGTGGCTACCATGATTCTATCACTAAAGAATTTTATGTCCCTCAAAGCGGATAGCAATCTATTCTTAATTAGAAACCCGGTACCTAAACAATGATTTTCCTAATTGCTCTGTGCCAAATAGAGTACTTTCCTTACCTTAACAAACACGAACCCTCCTCTGGCCAGCGATATATAATATAATAATATAATAATATATAATATAATAATAATACTGTGATCGAAGTAATTGTGAACCACACACGTAACTCGTGTGAACTAGTACCAAAAAGTTATAATACTAAAATACTTATAGCTGAAATAGCTCAACATCCACTTAAATCAGTTATACGCAATGCCTAATTCAATATTTGCTTTGTTCTATGTAAAAACAAATTTACAACAAAAAATTATCCCTTTAATACCCTTCCTAACTATAACCATTCTATTGTTGTAGAAGATATTAAAATAAATTAACCTTTCTAAAGCATAATAAAATTTATATAGTGGAAACAATGCTGTTAATGGATGAAGATTCACCACACCCAATCATTCCCCTTCAGGGGATTGCTGAGCCTAGAAGGGTTAATAATATTAGGATTAATTTTTCAATGCAATTACAATGTTTTTCTTTTTCTTTAAAACAAAGAAGTTACCACATATAACACTTACAATTTAAATATTCAATAACTTTAGCTAAAACTATTTTAAAATGATAAAAAAAAAAAAAAGAGCATACTATTTCATGAACTTTTTTGTTAAACTCAACATCTTCTGTTAAAATGAGTAATATTATTAAAGACATATACATGTGATGGCAACTGCTATCATTTGCATGATAAATTGCACGGAGCATAGGCACTACCTAGAAAATAAATTAAGAGAAAAAATTATTCACAATATAAAATAACAAATAGCAAATAATTTAAAAGCAATATATTCAGAAATTTGATAATGGAGAACATCTATCTTACAAGTACGTCTATATCTGACTGAGCTAATACAAATGTTTTAAACTGTTCATTTCTATGTAAAAGATGGTATAATAGTAATGTGGTTTCTTCATATTCAAGTGCAATACAGATGCTGTGATAAAGTTTACTGAAATCTGAAAAAACAAAAAAACTATATAAGACTGAAACAAGAATAAATTATTCAATACAGAATCACACAATCTGTTTTTGAGATAACATAACAACAATCTTAAAAAGTATATTATTTTAAAAAATACAACGATGATAACTTTTATATGGAAGTTTTAACATATTGCATAATCAAAATAGTTATTTCTGACGTAAAACATTAAACGCTTCAGCAATACTGGAAACATCAATACAACAATTAAGAGTAATTGATTTAATAAAATGCACTCTTTACATGGAAATAATAAATAAAAGTAAGATTTCACAATTTGGATAATTCATACAGCTTCCTAGTGATGGCAAATTGGTTTCAGTAACAAGAGTTAAGAAATAATTCAATAATGTACAAGTGTACAGTTTAACTTAATATTTTTTCTTTGATTTGATAGTTTTTAGGCTCTTCAAATCATCATTAATTTTCTTATTTAATAGTGATATTTTGTGGCTTCTCTTCATATTTATAACAAAATTGTTAATGATGTTGCATAGATAATTCCTTGTTCCATTTATATTTATATTCTCATTTCATTCCATGGCATTCTGATGAGTCAATACCTGCATACATTTTTTTTCAAATCAGCTATTAAATGAATATTGTCTTTGTCTATTTTTATGTCATCAAAATTTAAATTTTCTTCAAGTGAGAGCAAGTTAATTAAATTATTTGGAACATTAATTTTTGTTAAACTAAATACTCTTGAACTATTTTTATAAAGATGTAGAGATGGTTGACCGTTGATATAATATGAGGAGTTAGTCGGGGGTGGGGTCAAATAAATACTAAATTAAAATATAGTAATTATTTTATTTTAATTTTGCCGACGTTTCGACTGCCTCCCGCAGTGCTACATCCTACGCCATGAAGACGACCTGCAAAGTAGGTCGAAAAGTCGGCAAAATTAAAATAAAATAATTACTATATTTTAATTTAGTATTTATTTGACCGCACCCCCGACTAACTCCTTCTCATATTTTTATAAAGATTATTATATTTTTCTATTATTAAAATAATATTATCATTTTTCTCTTTTTTATTATTTATATTCAATTTTTGTATGATATTATTTTCATTAATCTAAGAAACACTGTCATATTTACTATCCATTTTTGAAAAACTTTTATTGACTATAGGTTTTTTTTAAAAAAAGAACTATTTTTCTATCCAGTTTAAATTTAATATTTTTAATATAACAATTAAAATTAATTTGAGTTAATTTGTTCACATTTTCTATCCACCCCATCCAACATTTTCATTATTATTATTTTTATTTTAATGAACATTAAAGCCTCATTTATTCTTTTATTAATTACATGTTTAACCCAATAAGCTTGCTTTATTTCTAAATTGAATATGTTTTTAATCAAGGTAACCCAGTAGGTAACTTTATTGTTATTAATTACAAATTAATTTATGAATAAATAATCAATATTTTTAATTATATTGTAAATATGAAATGGACATTTATGGTCATTTTTGTTATTTGTAAGATAATATAACTGAGTGTCGATCCTACCTTTCTTTAACACTAATTTCCTTTACATTTTTCAAATCTTCCAATTTTCCTGTATTTAATAATATGGTCACTTTCCTCATCCATATCATACACAATTCTTATTAAATCTTCAACAATTTTCTAAGGGTATTAATTACTAAAGAAAGTTTATAATATATAACCTCATTTATTCTTTTATTAATTACATGTTTAACCCAATAAGCTTGCTTTATAAGGATTGTTTTTGAGCAAATCATTTTTTACAATAATTATATTAAAATTATGGTTAGAAGGATTATATATTGATGTAAGTAAATATATCATTCATCGATTTGATATTTTGGATTTCCGTTTATTGTTTTTATGTGCTCTTATATTTTTTACATAGATATTTATAATTAAGAGTTTAATAAGATTAAATATTATTATTTATTTTGCCTTCTTATTTCTGACTGATCACCCCAACCATCCTTCTCCTCATTATTCACGACAGTAAACCACTAGCCAAAAATTATGGATATTTATAATTATTGTGATTTATATTATGGATATAATTTTTGACTTGAAAATGGATAAAATTGCCCAAAATGTCGTCATGAAGTTGCAATGAATTAAATAATAATAATAAAACGCTTAGCGAACCCGACGGTTCGATGCCGACACCACCAATCGCTTATTACACACCTCCCTCCACCGTTCGCCGTCCAAACCCAGTCCCTTCAGATCGGCTTTAATGCAATCTTCCCACCTTCGCTTCGGTCTACCCCTCGGACGCTTACCATTCGGCACAGCAAATATTAACCTTTTAGGAATTCTCTCGTTACTAAGCCCAACAACTTTACAAGCCCATTTGATTCGCCGCGATGAAATTACCTCAATTATATTACCCGGATACAGTTCACTCAATTCGGCGTTGTGTAACCGTCTGAACTCTCCAGTTAACTCATCCTTCTTTGGTCCGAATATTCTACGCAATACTTTATTTTCAAAAACCTTAAGACGCTGCTCATCCCTTAATGTAAGCGGCCAAGTTTCGCATCCATAAAGAACTGTAGGCAAGATAATTGTTTTATAGATTCTAATTTTTAAGTTCCGGGACAAGAGGCGCGAACTAAGTAATTTTGTCACAGAAAAATAACAAGCATTTCCCGCCTTCAGTCTAACCTTAATCTCTTCTTCAATTTCGTTTTTTCTAGTTATCGTAGAACCTAGATACCTAAATTTATCTACCTGTTCAAACATATTACCATCTATATCGATATCACCAGTAGTATAGCCATTTTTGCAGCTAACCATATATTTGGTTTTATCCATGTTTATTTCGAGTCCTAGTTCTTTACCGGCTTTCATTAACATTGTTGTATTTAGTTTTATTTTTTTATGTGCTGTTATATTTATAATTATTGTGATTTATACTATAGATATATTTTGACTTGAAAATGGGCAAAATTGCCTGAAATGTCGTCAAGAAGTTAAATGAATATTGCATTAATTAAATGTATCAGGATTAAAATAAATTGTTTTTTCCAAGATATTATAAACTTTATTTAATAATTAATACCCTTAGAAAAATTTTGAAGATTTAATAATTTTTTTTTTTTACTTAAGAAAAGACAAAAAATTTCTTGAAATTTGTTGCCCAATTACATCACCAGGGGTACGTGCCCCCTTTGCCCTTCCTACATCTGGTCTGATAGATAATTTATAAAAATAAAATTTTAAGTTAATATCAAAGAAGAAATATTGAATTAAACTGTACACTTGTACATTATTGAATTATTTCTTAATTCTTGTTACTTATTCTTAAACCAATGTGTCATCACTAGGAAGCTGTATGAATTATTCAAATTGTGATCTTATTTTTATTTATTAATTATTAATATTATATTAATATAATATTGTAATGTTATATTATATTTATTAATTTTTATTTTATTTTTATTAATCTTATTTTTATTTATTATTTCCATGTAAAGAGTGCATTTTATTAAATCAATTACACTTAATTACTGTATTGATGTTTCCAGTATTGCTAAAGCTTTTAATGTTTTACGTCAGAAATAACTATTTTGATAATTCAATATGTTTAAACTTCCATATAAAAGTTATCATTGTTGTATTTTTTAAAATAAAACATCGTCAAGAAGTTGGAATGAATTAAAGCATTAATTAAATGTATAAGGAATAAAATAAATTGTTTTCCTCGATATTATAAATTTTATTTAGTAAAAAAAATGTGTTTCTGTTTTTTGGTTGATTTAAAATTACTGAAGTCAATAAAATGAATTGATGTTATGAGATGATGATATTTAATTTGAAATATATTACTAAAAAGATTGTTATAAAATTTTGAATTATTTTAAGGATGAGGGTCCTGAGTTAAAAGAAGGAATGATAAAATTAAGTTTGCCCCATCCGGCAAAAATCCTAATATCAGCCCCGATTTTGGTAATACACTTGTATGGTTAATCTGGTTTATTTTTTTTTGTGATTTTCCAAGTTATATTGTTAAAAATTGATCACATACTTAAAGAACAGGATAGAGGGATGCACTGGAGTGGTCCAGTTCCTAGGCCTCTCTTTTCACCCGATCTCACCCCACTTTATTTTCATCAGTGGGGAAAACTATAAAAAGGGGTGTTCAAAAACCCATCAAATAGCCCCAACATCTTACAAGGAAGGCTTGTTTAGTAGTGCCAGAAAATATCAATTTATATTGCTAATAAAACAAAATTCATAATGCTATAGTTAAGGCATACTATTTATGATGGGCTAGAGCAGAGGTCTCCAAACTTTTTGGCCCATGGGCCACATTGATGCCTCGACTAAGTTCTGCGGGCCGCATTGAGACCTCCCACTAAAGTCCCACGAGCCATGGCTAGCAATGAAGAAAAATATCTTGTTTTATAAATGTCACTTCAGCTGTAAAGTGAGCTTTCTAGGAGGAAAAAACCAATGAAATAAATGTTGTAGTAATCTCGTGTGTGAAGAATTTGCTAAATTTCATGTTTTTAAATTTTTACAATCTTACCAAAGAAACTTTCGAGGGTCGGACTGAAGGTACTCGATCCGGCCCACAGACCCGTAATTTGGAGACTCTTGGACTAGAGGAGACATTTTTTGAAAACAATATATAATATTATTATTATTTTGAATATCATCATAAAGAATTTCATGAACAAATCATGAAGAATCTTTATTAAGAGTCAAGTAGTTTTAGAAAAAAATAATTCTTTTTAATTGATTTTTTTATGTAAACTGATTTTATTGTGTAAGTATGTTGTTATAATTAATCATTATTATTGATAGTGAAATCGTTATTTATATTGTTGGATGATAAAATTTTAAATTCACAAAATCAATATCCCTTTATGATTTTGAGAAATCATTTCACAAACACTATTTCTTTTACATTTTTTGTTTTAAAAATACATAAAAATGATGCTTCATGTTCCTAAAGTTTTTGTTTATGA